AATAAACATCTTATCCCAACCCTGTACACATGTACATAACGACGACATGAAATTCATGACTAAGCTGCAAATGATTTGTACCACAGAAGATTGAAGGACATTAAGAAGGTACTTGGATACTCAAGTTATACATATTAAAGATATCTTTTTAGCTTAGGCTGGAAAGGTTTCTCCTTTATCCTTTTTCATTACCTCTTCACGCTTGTAGCCTAGTGGTTAATTGAGTGGGTTGACAACCACGAGGTCTGAGATTCAAATCAAGACAAAACACTAGTTGATTTCTTCCCATCTGTCTTGGTGGACAGTGTTCCTGGTAGGGGAGGTAGCTATCCACATGGAATTAGTTGAGGCGCAAAAAGATAGGCCAGACATCACAGTTATCAAAACAAACAAAAAACTGAGTTTTTGAGATAATTAAAGATAAGAAACCTCTAAAACCATATGCAAATGTTTATGCTCATAACAATCAGCAAGAATCAAATTTTCAGATACCAAGTTATTTAAACAGTAGTAAGATGTAACTTACATGCCAGTAATCATGATCAATAGTGAGCAATTTAGTAATAGCAAAAGATCCAGCAGCTAACACAATAGTTGCATTTATAGTTCTATCAATAAGTTTCTCCACATCCTCCTCTTTACTCTCTGATCCACCAACACCACTTGCCGAAGAAAACCCACCACCACCTTCAAACGACAACCTCCCTTCATTTCCAAACCCACCCACCACCTGATTTACAATACCCATATCTCCGCCCCCTAATTTCGGTTCTCTTTCCAACCCAATTACAACCCCATTTTGCTGGTCCATAACGTCAGAACTTTGGACCCGAATCTCGTCGGCTTCGTTTGATACCGAACCCACTACAGCCCAATCTCTCAACTGCTGATTCTGCTGTTTAAGACCTTTGAATAAGAATTGAGACTTCATGGGTTTTGACAGAGAGAGAAAGGGCTTTGAGTTGGATTTTTGTAGAGAGAGAAAGGGGTGTGGTGAGGTTAAGCCATTGATGGTCGCCATTGAAATGGAAAAATCTTAGATAAAAGCTCACTTCACCTTCTTTCTCTCTGTTCTAGTTAACTGTAGAACAAAGAAATTTTATATGGAAGAAGATCCCTTTGGTGATCAGGTACTTCGCGTTATAGGCTAATTAAAATGATCCTCTAATATTTGATGACAGGAATACAAGCGCATTAAACTATTCATGCGGCTGAGAGTTCTCACCGTCTAAGCGCTGGAGGCCCGTTATGTCAAAAGCAAGAGAAATCACATCTCTCTTTACTTTTTTTGCTTCCATATTGCCACATCAAGAACATATTGTGTATTGATTTCATCTTCAAATTATAAATAATCTTAAAAACATAATGCTTTTAACAAAAATAAATAATTTAAAAATATATTTTACTTATATTACAAGATTGGAATTGTATTTAAATTTAATTTTAATCAAATAAAAAAATATTTTAAAACCTTTCAAAAATAAAAAATAACTCAAATCTAAGTTTGAGAAATATTTTCACTAATTCTCATGTTCGACTTTAATAAGGTGGTTTTTTATTGGTAGATATGTGGGTTGCAGGTGATTATGGTGGAGCTTACATGTTTTTTTCCTGTGCGACTGCGCTAGCCTCAAGCAACGTAAGAACAATCATAGCCAACAATTGAGCAAAGCCAAAAATATGATAATTCGATATTTTAAAATTATTATCTTGTTTACGAATAGGAGTATATGATATGGTTTGTCAAAAAAAATATTCTTTTTGATTAATAATAAAATGTAAAAAGTTAAAACTTTATTTAAAACACAATTTTTTATTTCATAAGAATGGTGCATCGCATGGTCAACTTGGCACTTGGACTTTTCTATATAAAATAAAATAAATTTTTTCTATATTTCCTAAAATTAGGTAAAAAATTCTTAGCAAAGGCAAAGAATATATTTAAGGGAAAATTGTATATAATAGCAAACTAATAACCTAAAATAAATGGAGTAGTTAATGTTTGATTTAATTGTGCTCCATAGCAAACGTTAGCTAAAATTTGTCAGGCGCCTCTCTCCCAAAAGTCTCGCTCGCCACTCTCCCATTCTCGCCTCTCTCGCTTTATACACAGAAGTGTATAATTTCTGTTTTGTTTTGTATAAAGCGAGAGAAAATTGTATATACACATGCAAAAACATATGCTTCGTGTTATACACTTAACTATACAATTTACAAACATTTTACTTCAATTCAATTGTAGATAAATGCAAATTTTATACAAATATTGCAAAGAAAAAGGTCAATGAATTATACAATTGCAGTGAAATACAATTTTCTCTAACTTTATACAACAGTGGTGTATATATTGTGTTTCTGTTTTTGTATAAAGCGAGAGAAAAACATAAATCTTCTTGCTATACACTTATAATTATGCAATATACATACATTTTAATTCAATTCAATTGTATGCAAAGCAAATTTTATAAAAATATTGCAGCGAAATAGGCAGTGAATTATACAATTGTGCATTATACAATTGCAGTGAAATAGGATAGCAAATTATACAATTGCAGCGAAATAGGCCAGCGAATTATACAATTTAGGCCAACGAATTATACAATTGTATATGTATAATGAATTATACAGTTTTATGTTGCTATGGTGCGCAATTATGCAAACTTGGTTATAGCATACAAATATAAATTTTTTGTTTGTTATATGTGAAAATTGCCCATTTAATAGTGAGTTTTTTTATATATATCTTAAACATAATGATATTTATTCTCCCATGATTTATAGTGATGCATATTTGTAGGGGAAATAACTTTTTCAATATAATAGAAAAAATTAGAAGAAAAAGGAAAATAACGTTCTTGGAGTGTTGTAGATTGATTGATGAAGTCATGATCCGCATAGTCGACTCATTTTGATATTTTCTCTTCTCTTTTTATTTTATATTTAATTATGTACATATGAAATTTTATTGTAACGAAAATATATTTATATTTTAAAATTTATATATCTTTTATTATAATTTGACGTTTATGATATATAATCACTTATTTAAAGAGTAGACTTTTTCTTGACATTTATATTTCAGAATATAAGATCAAATTTTATTAAATTGTGGGACAGCGATGGCTCAAAATAAGATTCGAAAAAAGTTAGGAGAGTATAGTTAGTTCACACATTTATACTGGTGGGCTCCTAAATATTTTTCTTTTAGACCATCAAATAATTGCTGATTTTTTTCCTAAATAATTAGGGTCATTTATTGTGGGCAAGGAGGCTACCAATATTTTGTCTACAAATATACTAGGAGATAATATAAACAGTTGGCTGCCCTTTAAACCATGCAAATAAAGTCTTCTAGTATATATAAAATATAATATTATATCCTAGTCATAAAATAATATAAAATAACTATATTCCAAGTTGTTTTCATTGGAAAATTCTTGAGGCAAAGGATTTTTAGAAATCTTCTTCATATATTATCCAACTATAATTCATCAGTTTTTCTTATGAAATTAAATTCCATGTTATTGCATTGTTTGTTATTTAAGACTTGGATGGACTTGTTGATTGTTTTCACAAGTTATGTAATATAATATGGTTTAAGTTTCTAAGTTGAAAAGCTTTTCTAGGTAAATGAGTTTAGGTTTTAAGTTGCTCGAGATTGAATTATGATTCATGGTAGTAATTAGTTTCTAGCATTTGGTCCGTTAAAAGGAAATATCGATAACCTAGGCAAATATTATAACACCGAAATTGAATCTCGACTCTTTAACACGGACTTGAATCCTTGTCCCATCTGTGACCCAAGATTTAAATTTAATTACAACATTAACTTCGAGACATAAAATCCAACCTCACTCAAGACCTGACCTAAACCTTACCTCGATCCCATCTCAAAACTTGTTCCTCGTCTTGACCCTGGTCATACTATAATCAAACCAAGCAATCGACCCTAACCACAACCCAAATTCCAAGACTAGATTAAGATTTAACCTCGACCTTGATCTCGAACAAAGATTGTAACCGATTTCCAACACAAACCTAACCTTGACCACGAGTCGGGGATCAAGGTTAGGTTAAACTTTGAGTTTGGCGTTAGAGTTGAGGTCGAGTCTAGAGTTATAAATTATGTAGTTAGTCATGGATTGAGGGTCAAATGTAGAAAGTAGGGCTTGAAAGTTGTGTCTTAGATTAGGGTCAAAATCAGGAATCAAGGGCGAGAGTCAGGACTTAGAGTCTCAAGTCAGGTCAGAGTTGGGTCTTAGGCTAGAGTCAAAATTGGATCCTAGGCCAAGGATAAAAGTCGGATCTCAAGTTGAGCTCGGGTTCGGTCAAGGTCAAGGTCAACGTCTCGAGTCGCGAGTCAAATCTTAATTAGCTAACACAAAGCAAGATTGGTTTTTAGGTTGTAGGTCCCATTAGAATTAGGATTTGGGAGTTGAGTCATGGGTCAAGATCGAATCTGAAACTTGAGTTGAGTGGTGACTGGTGACGCTGAAAGAAAGTTCTAAAAAATATTTTTCCATACTTTATGTAGAAAAACTATTTTCCTTAAATTTAAGAAAAATTAATCCAATCAAACGAAAATTGAAAAAATATTTTTCTTCGTACCAAAAACACGCAATTGGTTATACTAGCTTAGTAATCCAATAAAAGCATTTAACCTAGTTCATTCAAAATTACAATGAACAACTCATCCAATTCATTATTAATTACTAGAAAATCAAAGGCCATTCAAATTCATCACATATTTTAGCCAATTATACTATTAGCCAAATGACCCAAATTGGATACAAAAGAAGAGTGGAGGAAAAAAGTTTAAACAATAGCCAAATTGTCCAAAAGAGTATACATGAAAAAGTTTAAACAATAACCAAATTGACAAAAAGAGTGGAGGAAAAAGTTTAAAGAATAGCCACATTGTCCAAAAGAGTAGAGGAAAAAGTTTAAACAATAGCCATATTATCTAAACAAGGTAAAAACAGAGTGGAAATGGGAAGATGGAGAGCAAATCAGTGTTCAGTGAGCAGTTAAAATTTTCACTGACACAGAAATCTCAACTTTAGCCCCTTTTAGTTTTTTTTGTTCCGTTCGCCTGAATTATCAATCAGAAACGAATCGTAAAGAGGATCTTCGTCTCCGGGAATTGCCGATCTCAGTTCAACACATATGTTTTCTGCAGATCGGTAATGGCGAACTTCTTAGCTCAGTTTCAAAGTATTAAAACTACTTGCGATCACGTCGTCATTGCCGGTAAACAAATCTCATCACTCATTTCTATTTCATACAAACCCTAGCTTAATCGTAGTAGTAGTAATTTGAATTGTTGTTTTGCAATGACTGGCGGTAGCACCGGCTACTGCCGTTTCAACTATATCAGCAACGTGATGGATCAGTGTCTCCTAGTTTTGGATCATTTTGAAATGCTTACTAGTTAGTTATATGTCAGATATAGATAGCCAATATTGCAGAACTTGATTAATCTATTGAAATTAATATAAACTTAAATAATAGCGGAACACAATGGATTGGAAGGATCTAAATTGGTGATACTAAGTAGTTTTGGATTACTGCATTGTTTTGTAGTTACAGTTAATATTAGGTCCAGTGTTTTTTAGGGTAGACTCCATGTTGAGTGAGATTTAGGGAACATCTAGTCTTAGACAACTCCCAGTTTACCTTAAAACACAAGTTATTTAATATCGAAATGAAATTGGCTAAATGGATTAAGAGAATTTATATAGCAGAATGGAATAAGCTTGTGATTGAGTGGTAGTTGATTGGAAATGCATGTATATGAATGATGTGATACAGCTATGGGTCGTAAGTCTGTACACTATCAAAATATGGTACCTGTACTTGAATAAGTCACCTCTCTCCTTTTCTTTTGAAGGGGAGATATGTTACTATTAATATCTTGTGCCCTTTTTTGCTTCTACTAGTCTTCTAGAGTATAAACCTTAATTTGGAGCTCCGTGAGCTTCTATGACTTGTGAGTCTTGTAAATTTTTTTTGTTTTTTGTGCATCATCTTGTAAGTTGCTCCACTTCATTTTTCCAATAAATTACTTTGCAGTTGAAGATGTCAGTGATTTATGGCCTCTTGTAAAGAAAGGGTTTGAAGACCATTTGCCATTCAAGAGAGCTTTTCTAAATAACAAGACCCGCAATCCTGTGCTTGTGGATGAACTGCCAGCTGAATACATATTGACCACAGATTCAAGACTTCGTAGTCGATTTCCTCAAGAGCAATCATTATTTTGGTTCCGAGAGCCATACGCCACTGTGGTTCTTGTCTCTTGTGAGGTAGAAAGCATACTTGACTTTTTAAAGTTGAATTTTCTATCTTGGCATTGTTGTTCAATATATAATAGCCTTGAGTGGGTTGTTGTTGTTACTATAAAAGATGCAGTTGTTTAGAATTTGGAGAGATGATGGTGTGTATTGCAACTGAACAGTGAAAGATGTTTATAGAGAAAATAACATGACTTATCTTTCCTATAAAAAAGGACAAGTAAAGAAAATATGTACTTAGCTTAATCTGTGCAATTGTATTATACATTTCAAGTATTTTAAATGATAATGCATCCAATGGTGTGAAATAATGATCAGGGGAGAACCATGAGGTCTTTAGGTTCATATCATAACGGAGACAAAAAACACTACATTATTTCATCCCATCGGCATAAATCTTCGTGGATAGAGTTGTCCCAATATCTTTTCAGTACTTTCAAGTATCCCTTGTCATATTTACTTCATCAAAAAAAAAAGTATCCCTTGTCATATTTACGTGGACTTATTCTTTGAACCAAGAGACTGAATAGTGGAATCAGGAATATTATGATTAAAACTTAAAGGGGCAAGTGGAGCTACCGTTGTTAGCTTATATTCTGTTTCGAGAGGACTTAACTCATATATGGTTGGTGGCTGAAATGGAGGTATTTTTTGCCAAGTTGCATCTGTATGGAGAAAACAAAGAAAGTAGGGCATATCAAGGGAAATAATAGAATCAGACAAATTATATGTGTAGTTAGTAAGGAGGAGGCCTCTACTTGGTTATACCCATGAACTGAGTTAGTGTAGTGACCCATTCAAACTCATTTTCTTGGATATTTCTCCAGTGGTGGCAGATAACATGATCTTACATTTAAGGTTGCTGCTTATATTTCAGCATTCATCTGTTGTAAAAGGAATTGAAGTAGACAAGAAGTTCCAGTTTTGCTAAAAATCTTTGGCCTCTTCAGTGAGGTAATAATTGGCAGTTAAGGAACACCCCTGACATGCTTTCACCTTGGTGCTTCCAACTTTTGATGGTCCTTTGAGTTTTATTTTTGATAACTCAAGTTTCTTTGACAGCCTCTTCTAGCTTAAACTGCTTAATTAACATCCAATATTTATTTTTACTTTTGCTTTTGAAGATAGTTTTTTGTTTGTATACTGTAGAACTTGATGATTCTTTTTCCTTGTTAGGATCTTGATGAGTTCAAAACTATTCTCAAGCCACGCCTAAAGTTAATAGTTCAAAATGATGAACGGGAATGGTTCATCGTGTTTGTGTCTAAAGCAGCAGCTCACAATGATCAGTCCACCAAGATGGCAAAAAAAGTATATGCTAAACTTGAAGTTGATTTTAGCTCCAAGAAGAGAGAAAGGTGTTCCCCTGTTACAAATTGTATGAGTTCTGATGCAATTAACAAGTGTGCTGATTCAGTGCCACCCATGCATCTCAAAAATTGTTTTGCAAGTCCTGAATTTTCTCTCTTTACAAATAAGTTGACTAAATGGGAAATATCAGAAAAATATTTTATATACTTACAGAAACCATTAGTGCATCTTGTGAGAGGTATAGAAATGTACTCCACATCTCAATCTTAGTTCTTACTTCTTCCAGTCAATAAAAACCATTAGTGCATCTACTTTCTAAAAATCATCATGAAGGACGGTTATGTAGTGTTTCTAATGAAAAGGCTAATAGATAATTGCCATTCTTCCTCTCATGGATTTTGTCACTAAGCTACCTTTCCTTTAACAGGTTGCCATACAGTCAACTTTCACTGCTTGTGGTCTTTTCGGATATCTGTCTTGAGTTACATTAGTATTTTCTTCACATCTCTATGGTAGTCATCCAGTTAAAGCATCTGGTTAAATAACATGTTAAAATTACGTGAAGTCAGAGAGATTGAATTGCCTTGAGAGGAGACAGAAGTGTTACCCAGCCAATATTTTTGTTCTTCCTTTTACAAATAACCTGGATCTCAACTCCCCAAATAAGTTCCCTCTCTAACCTATTTGGATATATGCTTTGTATAGATGTTGCAAATTAGACTTTCATGGGCCTGATACAAATTTCTGGGACGACTTGGAAGCCAAGATCATGGAATGCATCAGAAATACACTTGATAGGCGCATTCAGTTTTATGAAGAAGAAATACGAAAGCTCAGTGAACAGCGTTTCATGCCTGTGTGGAACTTCTGTAACTTCTTCATTTTGAAGGTAATACTACCGCAACAACAATATTTTCAGTGTGATCCTAAATTTTTTCTTCATCATAAGCAGGATTGTCAGATGCTATCATGCTTGTGCCTGGATTCACGAATATAGAAAAGTTCCTTTGTTTAACAATCTGCACGTGATTTCAGAGATTAGTAAATAATAACTCCAGTTTGGAAAGGCATTTTAGTGTGATATATTATCTATAGAAGATCATTTGATCGTCTTGGTAGTAATGAGTTTGCTTTATGCTTTACATCAGTTAGTAGGTTAGCTTTAGATATCCAAGCGATTATATTATGCTTATGTAGAGTTGCCTCAAACTATTTGCATTATTTGCTTAGAGTTAGATTTTATCGAGAGGATCCATGTTCTGGACTTTCACTAACATTTTTTTTATCATTTAACAGGAGAGTCTGGCTTTTATGTTTGAGATTGCTCATCTCCATGAAGATGCATTACGTGAATATGACGAGCTAGAACTCTGCTACTTGGAAACAGGTGCTTAATGGTTGACTCTTTTTATTTTCCTCTTCATCTTCATGATGGATTAATGTTAATTGTTTAAATTTATTGCTGAAAACATACTCACTTTTCTTGTTTGCTGTTGACCTCTTTACTTAGCCATCTTTACTAGTTTTCCTCCTTTCTTGTCATGCTACCAGGTTTCTTGGTATGAAGGAAAATGTTCTCCTAGAAAATACTTTGTGGAAAATGAATGGATTTTCTTACTTATTTTCTAGTGTTTGGTAAGCAAAGAAATATTGTGCAAGAGCATTTATATGGAATTCAGAAAAACATTATGTGGGTGGGATGAGGTGGGGTGGGGAGCGGTGGTGGGGCCGGTAGGTGGAATGGACAGGGGTGGAGGGAGGAGGGCCGGGAGTAGACAATGAGCTTGATATGCCACTGATGGGACTTGTTTCCCCTACTTTCAATAGGGAAGTCATAAAGAGATACTTTTTTCCATAAAAGTCTGAAATAGAAGGAACCGGACTGACGGGCCAGCCCCTTTTTATGTGCTGCTTTACCCTGAAAGGAAAATGAGCTTTGCTCCTGTGGTTCGCGAGAAGGAAAAAGGATGTTGCATCTGGCAATAGATGATAAAGAGAGAGCTTTGTCTATCAATGAACAACAGATTGACGGAGCTCTTGGCATTGCTTTGTTTTTCTCTCCTTCCCTATCAGCGAGTTTCGACCTTTTGTTAGAAATTTCTTAGTTTGCATTGAACCGCTTGCGGAATAAAATCCTGTTCCACAAGATCCTATTTTAGCTATACATCCTCCTTGCATTTATGCCGGAGACGTCGCCAGTGCTGCCTGATCAAGAGATTCTATTTCCATAAGAAATACCATAATTTAGGAATCCTCAAATATCTCTTTAGGGTTTTCTATATTTCTATGGCTATGGCATTTGTCAAACCTACGTATATGTGAATTTGCATCATCTTCTACACTCCTAATGCTCTTCATAAGTCATTGGACCCAAGATGCTTGCAGCTAAACCTTAATATATCACAATCAATTCCATTCCAGCACTTCTTTTGACAGTAAATACTATTTTGATTGATGAGCATTCTGATTTATAGTAGTACTTTGTACTATAAAATTTGGCGTGAAAATACATTGCTAAATCCATATAATTTGATGGCGTGAGATCATTGATGGCTTTTCTTTCTTGATTGTAACATGAGAAACCACTGTGAATTCTGTGATGATATCTATTATGCTTTGCAGTGTACTATTTAGGCTAACTTGATTTGCTCAAATTGTCTGTTGTGTTCTGGTTATGAAGATGCTAAACCTGATAACTGACCCGATCTTTATATGTCACTATTGATTAGTGAATATGACTGGGAAACAGAGGGACTTTGGAGGAATGGACAGCGGCGACGATCAGGCTGCATTGCTTAACCCAGGAAAAAAAGCACTTAACCAGATTGTTCAAGATGATTCTTTTAGGGAATTTGACTTCAGGCAGTATCTATTTGCCTGCCAATCAAATGTGAGTATGACAAGACCTATGATTAATTTAGGCTAGTTTTGGATAAGATATAAATCTTTTCTTATTCAGTCGGAGGAAAATTACTGCACTGCTCCTTTGCATTCATCATCCTTCTTTCTCTTATGGGACATGCCAAAAAAGTTGCCCACAGCAAAAGGTGAAAGGAACTCAAGTGTAATTTCTAGTAATGCTCCAACATATAGGTCTTTTTGGCACTGTGATAGTTGCATTCGTAACTCTAGCATAATGTGCATTCTCAAAGATGATCATTAAAAATGAGGAGGAAGTTCAGTTGATTAACTTGCTAGGGAATTTATCACTTCAATCTTGGATAGATTTATCTGTTATAAGATCTTTTGTTACTTCAATGGTCTACCTTGTACTTTTCCGTGGTCCCACAACATGATAAAGCTGTCTTATGGAGTCAGATTCAGCAAAAGAATTGTGCCACCCATATAATGCTCTCCTCTACGATCTATGAGAACTATCGTAATATTGAGGATCCTTAATGGCTTTTAACTGGATGAGTACAACAAGTTCTTTTTCGCAACCTCTTCTAGTAATTAGTTTTTTCGAGAGTCTACGTGTATGTTGCTGTTTGTATTGCTGAAAAGATTCAGATTATTTGTGGTTGAAAACAACAACAAGCCCAGTGTAATCTCACAAGTGGGGTCTAGGGAGGGTCTAGTGTATGCAAACCTTTCCCCTAAGTCATGGAGGTAGAGAGATTGTTTTCGAAGAACCTTGGCTCAAGTGCATCAATCAAAATAGTTATTAACGAGGAAATATGACGATGAAGAAAAAAACATGGTAACTACTATGGAAAGCAATACAAAAAATACACAAAAGAATAGTACCATCATATGGTAACAAATATCAAAAAACAAGAAACTACATGAAGAAGTTAATACGATAACATACACGGTGCTCTAGGCTACCACCAAGCCTATTCCCACTGAAGAGCGAGACACCGCTCAACTGCCTACTAACCTTCTATCCTAGTCCGCAACCTCTTCCCTCTCCTATCTAAGGTCTCCTTAGTAAGCTACATCATTCTATGTACGCCGTACTATCTCATTTTTGTAGTACTGGTTGTTTCTGTTGCTGTAGCTACCTCGTTCTACTTTCATGTGCAGCATGATGCCATGATCCTGAATGTTAACTTTCTCAAAAAATAATGCCATGATCCTGGTATTAATTTATTAAATGTGTAGCTCGAAAAATATAGGACTTCTCAGATATCTGATGAGAATAAGTTCTGAATATGAGGTACCATCAATTCTTGGATGTCGTCATTTTTCATCTGTACCTTTGAAAAGAAGGTCCAAGTTCTGTTTAAATGCAGAAGGTCCAAGTTCTACCACTAATCCTATTCCACAGAAAAGTGAAAGAACACTAGACTGCCAACTGACCTTCTACTCTAATGCGTGATCTTCAAACCCTCTTATCTAAGATCACGTCCTCTGGAAGCTAAAGATGCGTCATATCCTGTCTAATCACCTCCCCCAAACACTTCTTCAGCCTGCCTCTACCTCCCATGATGCCCGCCCTTGCCAACCTCTCACACCTCCTCACTGAGGCATCTACACTGTTCCTCTTCACTCGCCTAAATCATCTCAGTGTCACTTCTCTCATTTTATCTGCCACAGAGGTCATTCCTACGTTGTCCTAGATATCTTCCTTCCTAATTTTATCTCTCCTAGATATGTTACTCAGACTCTTCAAATTTGCAGCTGCACCAATATCGGTTCCTTAAAAGATGCACTACTTTTGGAGGATCCGATGCGCACCCAGTGACATTTTTGAGGAGTCCGACCAACATAGTCTCCTAGTATGCCCACACATCCACCTCCACCCTTACAAACAATAAAAAAAATTTGAAAGGGAATAATATAGATGATCACTTCTCCTAGCACTTAAAATTATCTAAAGCATTATTTTGATGATGTTTACTCAAGATTTATTTTTCCATTAATACCTGCAGCTTCTCTTTAAGCTGTTCCGACCATTGGAGCACTTAATTGATCTCAAGCATTTCTCTGATGATGGTTACTCAAGATTTATTTTTCCATTAATACCTGCAGCTTCTCTTTAAGCTGACTCGACCATTTGAAGTAGCATCAAGGGGGCATTCATTTATTATTAGCTTCTCAAAGGCATTGGCCCTTCATGAGGTAATGAGTTCTCTTTTACCTGCTTCATCATTTCTATCGTCTGTGAGGATTGAATCCTTTTTTATTATTTTATATTCTCTTTTTTTAGTTTTCATTCAATCATTTGCTCTAAAAGGCAACTTATCCAAATGGAGTGGAATGTTTATTTTAATGATTCTTATTGGTCTATCTAGTGGGATTGAGGTGTAGTTGATAAATTGATTTTTCATATGTGCTTCTGTTGTTCAGAGTAAATTGCCCTTCTGTACGCGTGAAGTATGGGTTATAACCGCTTCCTTGGCTTTAATCACTGCAACTGCTTCTCAATACAAAGATGGACAAGTGGCTTCTGACATTGAAAAAGAGTTTTACCGGGTTCAGGGGGACCTTTATTCTTTATGTCGTACTAAGGTAAACTAATCTATACTAAGAAGTATCATCTGATGTTCTCTGAAGACTAACCTTAAAAGTAATTTGTTGTTCTGATGATTTTGAAATGCTTCTGTTGTTCAGAGTAATTTGTTTTCTGATGAGTTTTGGAATGCTGCTCACGTGTATTTAGCTTATAGGGCTGTCATTTTGCTCAAATTTTCAAATAATTTTGATTCTGGATTCCATTTTTGTTCCTTTAGCTTTTATTTATAAAAAATTACTCTCTGCCTTCCGTTGAAGCTTGTTATGGTTCTGGCAGTTCATGCGGCTGGCATATTTAATTGGTTATGGATTACATATTGAAAGAAGTCCTGTGAACAGGTACTCACACTGTTTGCTCTTGACAACACCCTTTTCTTGTATTGGGACATTTTTCTGAACCAACTATCTTACAGGAGAGTAATCCAAGTCATACTATAAAGGCTGTTTAATTTACTGAAAGCTCATGTATATTTCATTTGTTTTTGCAGTGCTTCACTTAGCATGCTGCCTTGGCCTAAGCCAGGGGTTTGGCCTTCTCTTCCTTCCGATGCTTCATCTGAGGTGCTTGTGAAAGAAAAGGTGTGTTTTTACTCCTGGTCATTGAAGATAAACCAGAAAGACATGCCCATCTAAAAGTATACCATTCTTTTGGGGTGTGGAGAATGCACGAGAAGAACTGATTTTCTCCTAGAGCAATTACCTAGTTGAAAATTTTAAGATTGGTGATTGCTAAAGTTAATGAGTAGATGCGTATGAAAGGGCTTGTGGTTTGTAAAGTAAAATTCTTCCTTTCTCATCAACCTTCAGACTTTTGAAAGATCAGTTAGGAATTATCCTGTTGGGTAAGAGAAAAACTTACGAAGGAATATGTAGCATATAGGCAACCCACTGACATATGCAAACTGAATATTAAACAACTAAAAAAGCAGAGGTTTGGCAAATCGTTGATGTACCCAAATAGCTAATATTACTTGAGCTGCAAGTAGAAGAGATAAAATTTCCATGTTCTGACCTCCAATATAAGTTAATGGTGCCATTGGCAAGGTGAATACTTTTACAATAGACTGACTAACATTTGAGTTTCTCTTGCATACCTGCGCCCCATATTAATCATGCCATCCTTGGCACGTTTCAAATTTAAAGGTCTGCTTAAGCCAGCAATAATGGGCCCAATATCCGCTTTTGACATTATTTGCATTTATGTTTACAATTGAAATGCCTTTTGAAACCATTGGCCACATTTTCTTTGCAGATGATGTTTGAAGAAAGTCTGCGGGTTAAGCATTTTGGTATTCAGAGGAAGCCTTTGCCTCTAGAACCATCTGTACTTTTGCGAGAAGCAAATCGCAAAAGAGCTTCTATTTCAGCTGGGAATGTGTTTGAAATGTTTGATGGACATCCAAATGCAATTGATGGGTAATGAAGATTGATTAAGATGAATGCTTTATTTGTATTTTTTAATTAAGTGCATCCATACTTAACAAGGCAAAGGTTGGGTGATTGGGCTGTTTTTAGATTATCAGTTGCCATGTTTTGGGAATTTTAGAAGTTCGATACTTTCTCGTGTAAGAAGTTCGATGATTTCCTTTGTTACTTGTATAGGGAGCGACAAGCTTACAACTCCTATTTACATTCTTGACTCAATACGTTTCGGCTTCGCTTATCACTATTGTGCAATTGAAAGTTGCTCTTTTTTCATAAACAACAACATATTGTTGGAACAATCAGTAAGGTGAACAATAATGCTACTTATAAACATGCCTGTGCCAATTTAAGTGAATTACTGGAGGTTATAAAGCTGGATAGACTGTTTTAGTTGATTGCTCAAGGGCCCCTTCAAGGTGTAATTAGATGGATGCATGGACAAAAACTATGGCTTACATGAGTGTAAAATATTCTTTTAGTCCAAGAATTATCTCCTTAGAAAATCATTAAGAGAAAGCAAGGTACATAAAAAGGGATGTCTCGTGTCATTTTCATCTATTTCTTACAACTCTTTTGACTAAAGGATGTTTTCCTGAAGCCATATAGTAAAAAATCTAAAATTAGATTAGAACATTGGTGTTAGTTTCCCTAAGAGACTTCACATTTTCATATGTTCTGTTGTAACCTCAAAGGCTGAGATCTTACTTTGTCGTCATCTGGTGACAGCTCAGGTTCAACGTCTTCACCAGCAAAATCACAGTCGATATCAATGTCAAGAACTAACTCTTCTCCTGGAAACTTTGAGAGCTCAATGAGCCGACCTTTGAGGCTTTCAGAAATTTGTGTTGCTGCTGAACATGCTTTGCGGAGTACAATTTCTGATGCAGAACTGTGGAAATCATTGTCTTCTGTCCAGGAATTTGAGGTTCCTATCTTCTCTCAGGGCTATATGCGTACCTTTGAATAGTAATGGTTCTTGGAATACAGTTCTGTATACTACTTGTGAATAGGCATGATACCACTAATTGGAGTTCTGCATATATTTTATTTAATTGCTTGTGAATTGGACACCTTGACATGCATTATTCAGCAGCAGATAATCCTTTGTATTTATGTAGAGTCATGTTTTGTTTTATATTCTTCATTCTTTATGCAATTCTAATCAGTTTTAATCTCAGCAAAAATACCTGGAGCTGTCAAAAGGAGCTGCCAACAACTATCATCGTTCATGGTGGAAGAGGCATGGAGTTGTACTTGATGGTGAAATTGCAGCTGTGTTCCATAAAAACAGAAATTATGATCTTGCTGCAAAATTGTATGAAAAGGTTTGTGCTCTTTATTCTGGTGAAGGATGGCAGAATCTTTTAGCTGAGGTCCTTCCCAATTTAGCTGAGTGCCAAAAGGAACTTGGTGATCAAGCTGGCTATCTATCTTCATGTGTAAGATTGCTCTCATTGGATAAAGGATTGTTCTCCAGCAAGGAACGTCAAGCATTTCAGTCTGAAGTGGTTCGTCTTGCTCATAGTGAGATGGAGAACACCGTGCCTCTAGATGTGTCCTCACTGATAACATTTTCTGGCAATCCTGGACCACCACTGCAGCTTTGTGATGGAGATCCTGGTACACTCTCCGTCGTTGTATGGAGTGGATTTCCTGATGACATTACTCTAGAATCACTTAGTCTAACTCTCACAGCCACAACTAATACCGATGAGGGTATTAAGGTATTCTGTTTACTCTCTATAGCATCTCCTCAAGTAGTTTTTAGAAACTGCATCTTCTAGTGCAATAAGCTTTTATGAGCTTTTTCTCAGGCAATAAAAAGATCCGGTGAGACGATATTAAAGCCTGGAAGGAATACAATCATGATCAATTTACCTCCGCAGAGACCCGGTTCTTATGTTTTGGGGGTTCTTACAGGGAAAATTGGTTTACTAAGTTTTAGATCTCACAGCTTTTCAAAGGGTGCTCCTGCAGATAGTGATGATTTTATGAGTTATGAGAAGCCAACAAGGCCAATCTTAAAGGTAAAGGATCTTTTATATAAGTGGAGAGACGAAAAAATGAATTGTGAAGGCTGGGATGTGTATTCCACAAGGAAGAGTGCCATCCTTCGTTTCTATCCTCAAATATTCTTATTGATTCTTTTGTATGCTAATGCTCTACAATTTATTATACAGACTGATTATCTGAAATCTTTCTCAAAAAGAAAAATGATCTTTCTCAAAATGATTATCTGAAAGGCCTTCTATATTTCTTGAACTTTTTTGAAAGGTGTTCAAGCCAAGGTCTCTGGTTGATCTTACTGCTGCTGTTTCATCTGCTTTATTGATGAATGAACCTCAGTGGGTTGGAATAATTGTGAAGCCAATTAGTTACTCTCTCAAGGGTGCAATTCTGCACATAGACACTGGTCCTGGGTTGACTATTGAAAAATCTCATAATATTGAAATTGAGAGGCACGTAATTGGGCGCACAGATGAGTTAGACCATTCTGAAGGTTTTAAAGATGATGACAGTTCCGCAGCTACTCCCGAAGTTAAACAAATGTCTCTTCATGATGGAAATATTGAGCTGCCTGATTGGGCAAGCAACATAACTTCTGTTTTGTGGATTCCTGTGCATGCAACCAGTGATGAACTTCCTAAAGGTGCTCCTGCAGGTGATGATTAATAAACTAGTGGTGGTTTAAACAGCATAGCCACAGCTCCATAAATCTGTTTTTTCACTTCCTAAACACCTGTTTTACCTATCAGGTGCAGTTGCTCCGCAGAGACAGAACCTAGTGGAGGGACTGAGAACAATAGCTTTGAAACTTGAATTTGGGGTGTCACGGAACCAAATATTTGAAAGGTTAACCTTCCCCACTTTTCATTTCATACTTCTAATTTTTGGCACATTTTTATGCATATTCTTGTTAGTAAGACTAGTCTGGAATCTAACTTCTTTGCAGGACAATTGCTGTGCACTTCACTGACCCCTTCTCTGTAAGTACACGAGTTACGGACAAAAGCGCTGATGGAAAATTGCTTTTGCAGGTAATCTTTTTCTGCCACTAATGTTTGGTGGTGACTTTTTGGGTGGATGGGGCGTGGTGGTGAGCAGTTACAGGCTAGAGAAGTCATTTTCTCTGTTGATCAGTTGGTTATTTATAAGTATTTTGGATGTCAGGAGTATGTAATAGAAATAGAGAAGAAAAATAAGTGACTAAAAGAGAAGAAAAGTCATAGGAGATGCAAGAAGCCATCTGAATTTGCATCCTTTGTGTCGGGATCTCTGTTGCCAGAAATGCAGACGGTTGTCTCTAATGTCTGTAGTTCTGTGTTTTACGGAATTGCGTCATTTCAGAATCGAGAAATTGATGACTTTCATTAATGCTAACTCTCATTGTTACTGTTTCCTGCTTTGTCTAGGTGATACTGCAATCACAAGTCCAAGCTACATTGACCATCTATGACTCTTGGCTTGATCTTCAAGAAGGCTTTGCTCACACTGGAAATGGTGATAAAAAGCCAATATCTGGATTCTTCCCCTTAGTGATCTCTCCGAAATCTAGAGCTGGGATTCTCTTCAGTGTATGCCTGGCAAGTGCACCAATAGAAGGTATGCCCTGTTATATTTTCCCTCTTAGTCACAGACTCGACAGTCAATAGTTTTTGTCCTCTGTTATGTACTGATACCGATTGTAGGGAGCCTAATTATTGCATATCATCCACTACACTTTCTGCAATACTGGGGAAATCTTGGACAGCATTTTTTTCCCTGCATGCTTCTGATTAGCTATCGACCAAAAGCAGAAAATAAGAGGAAATATCTTCTTGACTCTACTAAGGATATTTCTTTGTGGACAGTTGATAGGGATTAAATTGAATTACACGGGGGAGGAAAATGCATGCTACATACCTTTTTCGAAGTCTTGAAACATATCGAACTATTTTAAGTAGCAACTTATGATATTTCACGACACTAGTTTTCACTCTTGCCTTTTCCTTTTGTTGTTTGCTTAGAAGAAGCTGAGATCCAGTGTCCTGAGAGCATTTTAAATATTAGATTTGGTATTTTGGGAAATAGAGCTGCTGGTGCCCATGACCCCAATGCTGAGGAACCAAGTGGACATGATGGATCGACTCAGAGTCTGATTTTCAAGAGCTCTCTTCTTTTACAGAGACCTGTGCTTGACCCTTGCTTTGCAGTCGGTTTTCTACCTCTTTCTTCAACTGATCTTCAAGTAGGACAGCTTGTTAGCATGAGATGGAGAGTTGAAAGGTTAAAGAGTTTGGAGGAAAATGCAGCTTCTGAAAACAATGTAAGTACTGATGATCTGCAATCCTCTTTGGCAATTTCTGTAACAAAGTTTATCGATCCTTTCTCAACTTTTCATTAGTGCGGAGCTGTTTTTACTGTTGAATTTTCCTTTCTCCTTCTAATCAATCATCTGGGTAACTTACTGGATTCGAGTTTCTCGTCATCTACTTTAGACTCGTCAGGAATCTTATTATTTTCTATTGAAATTGTGAAACATAGGAAGTCATGTAAAATTCATAATCGAATCTTGGCTGCTGCTGCTGCACATGTATATCTTTTTGATCTGGTTATTCTTGTAAATTTCTCACATCATGTAAAACTAACTTGTGATACCATATATGTCAAAATGGGACAAAAGACTTCCTTTAGATGACAAGTGCCTACTTTTTTGTTTCTCTTTCAAGGATGATGTTCTATACGAGGTCCATGCAAATTCAGATCACTGGATGATTGCTGGGAGGAAAAGGGGACATGTCATACTCTCTACAGAACAAGGTTTCTTCAAGTCATTTTGTTTCATTGTTTTGACTTTCAACTTGTATTACTGTGTGCTCTGCAGGTACTCATACTTGTTGTGTACTGTGACAGGATCGAGAATAACTATTTCAGTATTATGCTTGCCGCTAGTTGCTGGATACGTTCGTCCTCCTCAATTGGGATTGCCAAATGTTGATAAGGCCAATATTTGTTGCAATCCTCCTAGTCCACATTTGGTGTGCGTCTTCCCTCCAGCTTTAAGTTCTTCTTTCTGCATACCACCCTGAAACCTTTGGTCATCCTTTCCTCCTTTCTCATTAAAAGCATGATGAGCTTCACATGGATGGTTTAACTTGGGTCTTGCCAGTGCTTGTACAATATGTATTCTCTTTTCTAAAGGAAGCGAGTTTTTTTTAGTGTCAAAGATGTAGACCTAATGTACAGAGAACAGTTTTGCTTGTACAATAGATGAGATTCTGAGAGAGAAATTATTTGTAAACGGAACATTAGTAGTCGGGGGAGATAAATGAATTAAAGAGTTTTAAGTGATTATTGGCATATATTTTGTTGGTTATTTTTGTGCTCCTTGTTGATCCTTTTGGTTGAGCTTAGATGATTTTCCAGTCATCATCATATTGAAGATCACTAATTGACCAAACTTTCACAACTTCATCGTACGAGAATCAAATATAATAGTCTAATTTCGTATATCTAGGTGATCTTCGTCTCTCGAAACTTTACCTTTAGCAGGCGCAGGCCTGGATCTTTGAAAAACTCATGGAAAATTATTTAAAATATAAAAATGAATTGCATATGACCAAGAAAATGTTAAATAATAGAAGGACGTTTTTAGGCAACTTCTCTAAACTTACGAAGTGATATATGGAGTATATACATGCGATACCTTTACCCAGCTTCGGCCCAACAGATTTTAAGCAGTCCAGCCCAATTCGAATTTCGGACCCTAATTCCCCTGAATTGATTTTTCAAATGTGGCCGGAGTAAACCTTTCCACCGTGAATTCTTTGCTTCCCGGAACACTTTCAGATCTCCACTGGCCTGAAATTGTAAGTTTTCTTTCTCATGTATTATAAACCCTAATTCCCAATTCCCGTGATATTATTCGAAATTTGAAATTGAGTAGAAGTATTTTGTCACTCCTTTTACGTTAAAAATCGAAATTCTAATCTGAATGTTACATTTTTTTCTAGCTTTCTGTGATCAATTTCAATATCAAGTTTCAGTTTATCTGGAAAATAATTTTGTTTTACTTTATACAGATTGAATTGTTAACCATATTGCCGAGACTTGGAATTTTTAAGTGAATTCAGGCTATAATTAGGGCGAGTTCAGTGTAACATCATTGTAGAAATACCAATTTGGAGAGAAAATGAAAAGAAAAATGGAAAACCAAAATTCAGGGGGTTTAATCTCAGAGAGACCTGTGAGAAAGAGGATAGCTTCTAGGAATTATGATGAAAATTTGATGGATAATTTCATAGATGAGCAGTTGGGTGGTCCGGTGGGTAAGAAGATCAGAACGAAAAAAGATTTGGAGAAAGAAACTGAAAAGGAGGCCTTGATTGCTCTTTCTTTGGGCTTCCCAATCGATGACCTTCTTGAAGAAGAAAAAAAAGCTGGAGTTGTAAGTGAACTCGATGGGAAGGAGCAAAACGATTACATCGTTGTGAGAAACCATATTCTTGTAAAATGGAGGGAGAATGTGCATATTTGGCTGAACAAAGGAAGGATAAGGGAAACTGTAAGTGTTGAGTATGAACATTTGGTGGCCATAGCATATGATTTTCTTTTGAGTAATGGGTATATAAATTTCGGGGTTTCACCGTCATTTGTATCTAATCTTCCTGAGGAACCTAGAGAAGGGTCTGTAATTATTGTTGGTGCTGGACTCGCTGGTTTGGCTGCAGCGAGGCAACTGATGTCGTTTGGATTCAAGGTAAGTATCCTTGAAGGTAGGAACCGACCTGGAGGGAGAGTTTATACTGAGAAAATGGGATGGAAGGGAAAGTTTGCTGCTGTGGATCTTGGTGGCAGTGTTATAACTGGTATCCATGCGAATCCTTTGGGTGTTTTGGCTAGACAACTTTCCATTCCGCTTCACAAGGTTAGAGATAAGTGTCCTTTATATAAACCTGATGGAGCTCCTGTTGATGCAGTAGTTGATTCCAGAGTTGAGCTCATTTTCAATAAGCTACTAGACAAAGTTACTGAGCTGAGAAAAATCGTAAGTGGTTTGGCTAATGATGTCTCGTTAGGCTCCGTTTTGGAGAAACTTAGACGAATATATACTGTGGCTAAAACTAAAGAGGAGAAGCAACTTCTGCATTGGCATTTTGCAAACTTGGAGTATGCAAATGCTGGATGCCTCTCGGAACTCTCTGCTGCCTATTGGGATCAGGACGATCCTTATGAAATGGATGGTGATCATTGTTTTCTTGCTGGTGGAAATTGGGGTATGATCAGAGCATTATGTAAAGGAGTTCCTATATTCTATGGAAAGACTGTTGAGACAATAAAGTATGGAAATGAAGGAGTTGAGGTCATTGCTGGGGACCAACTTTTTCAGGCAGACATGGTCCTATGTACCGTTCCTCTTGGGGTACTGAAAAGACGATTAATTAGATTTGAACCAGAGTTACCTGAGAAGAAGCTTGAAGCTATTGATAGGCTAGGATTTGGGTTGCTGAATAAGGTTGCTATGGTATTCCCTCATGTTTTTTGGGGCGAAGACTTGGATACCTTCGGATGCCTCAACAATTATAGCCATAGACGAGGAGAGTACTTCTTATTTTACAGTTACCATACTGTTTCTGGGGGTCCAGTACTTATTGCACTTGTTGCTGGTGATGCTGCTCAACTTTTTGAAAGCACAGAGCCGTCCACTCTAGTTAATCGAGTTATGAACATTCTCAAAGGTATCATCCATCTTTATTTTTGTATCTTTATATTTTTTCTAGGGTGGTGTCCAGGTCAACTTACACGCACCTCGACTAATCTACCAATCAGCCTGTCCAGCTTGACACGCTTCCCATGTGATCCTGCTCATTAAGGCTGGAGAAAATGGGTTCACACCGTTTGTTGTAGTAGGGATTCCAACTTTATTCCCATGATTCAACCACTAGGCAGTCTCCCTGGGGACATATCATCCATATTTATACAAGACTAGATAGATTTTTAATTTTCTTTTTCCCTGTTTTTGTTCTTTAAGGAAGAACCTGAAATCTGGTTTTGATTTTCATCTGGCTACTTTGACAGGCATATATGAGCCAAAGGGAATAAGCGTGCCTGATCCTATACAATCCATATGTACAAAATGGGGAAGTGATCCCTTTTCATTTGGCTCATATTCACATGTTCGTGTTCAGTCATCTGGCAGTGATTATGACATACTTGCAGAAAATCTTGGAGGTCGGTTGTTTTTTGCTGGAGAGGCTACGATTCGACAACATCCAGCCACCATGCATGGAGCCTATTTGAGTGGCTTAAGAGAAGCTTCTCATATTTACCGATCCATGAAAGCGAGGCTAAATAATCCAAGGAAAACTGTATCAAAGAATGTTCGACCAAGCAATGATGTATTGGAAGAGTTGTTCAAAAACCCAGATCTAGCATTCGGGAAGTTCTTATTTGTATTTGATCCCCTTACTTGTGATTCTAAATCTTTAGGACTCATGAGAGTTACTTTTGGAAAATCCAACAATGAATTTAATACAGAGGAGGCCGATAATATGCCTCAACATTTATTAAATCCATCACTGCAGCTTTATACAGTTGTGTCTCGTGAGCAAGCACGTGAACTGCAGTTGGTGAAGGAGGGAAACCATTGCAAATTGTCGGATTTGCTTAAAGGACTTGGGTTGAAGTTAGTGGGAGCAAATGGACTCGGAGTTCAAGGCCATTCTTTGTCTGCGAAAATTGTTAATGCGCGAAAAGGTAGAAAAAGGAGTCGAAGCTGTACTGCCAAGCATAAGGCAGGCAACAGTAATAGTCAGTTACCTTGAGTATATATAAGCTAAGCTTCTTCAACATATTGTATTATGTTGCTCGCGGGTATATATTGAGGAACACGCAATTCGCATCTGGTTTGGTAGTTTCAGACCTTCCTACTTTATGCTATTGGTAAGGTCTCTGGTTGATCTTACTGCTGCTGTTTAATCTACTTTATTGATGAATGAACCTTAGTGGGTTGGAATAATTTTGAAGCCAATTAGTTACTCTCTTAAGGGTGCAATTCTTCACAGACACTGGTCCTGGGTTGACTATTAAAAAATCGCATAATATTGAAATTGAGAGGCACATGAATGGGCACACAGATGAGTTTGACCATTCTGAAGGTTCTAAAGATGATTACACTTCTGCAGCTACTCCCGAAGTTAAGCAGATGTCTTTTCATGGAAATATTGAGCTGCCTGATTGGGCAAGCAACATAACTTCTGTTTTGTGGATTCCTGTGCGTGCTACCTGTGATGAACTTCTTAAAGGCGCTCCTGCAGGTGATAATTAATAAACTAGTGGTGGTTCAAACAGCATAGTCGCAGCTCTATGAATCTGATTTTCCACTTCCTAAACACCTGTTTTACCTATCAGGTGCAGTTGTTCCACAGAGATAGAATCTAGTGGAGGGACTGAGAACAATAGCTTTGAAACTTGAATTTGGTGTGTCGCAGAACCAAATATTTGAAAGGTTAACCTTCCTCACTTTTTTGTTTCATACTTGTAATTTTTGGTACAGTTTTATGCATATTCTTGTTAGTAAGACTAGTCTGGAATCTAACTTCTTTGCAGGACAATTGCTGTGCACTTTACTGACCCCTTCTCTGTAAGTATACGAGTTACGGACAAAAGCACTGATAAAAAATTGCTTTTGCAGGTAATCTTTTCTGCCACTTCACTGACTCCTCTGAATTTGCATCCTTTGTGTTGGGATCGCTGTTGCCAGAAATGCAGACAATTGTCTCTGATGTCTGTAGTTCTGTGTTTTATGGAATTGCATCATTTCAGAGTCGAGAAATTGCATTACTTTCATTAATGGTAACTCTCGCATGGATACTGTTTCCTGCTTTGTCTAGGTGATACTGCAATCACAAGTCCAAGCTACATTGACCATCTATGACTCTTGGCTTGATCTTCAAGATGACTTTGCTCCCACTAGAAATGGTGATAAAAAGCCAATCTCTGGCTTCTTCCCCTTAGTGATCTCTCCTAAATCTAGAGCTGGGATTCTCTTCAGTGTATGCCTGGCAAGTGCACCAATAGAAGGTATGCCCTGTTACTTTCCCTCTTAGTCACAGACTCGACAGTTAATAGTTCTCGTCCTCTTTTATGTACTGATACCAATAGTAGGGAGCCCAACTACTGCATATCATCCACTACACTTTCTGCAATACTGGGGAAATCTTGGACAGCATTTTTTCCCTGCATGCTTGTGATTAGTCATCGACCAAAAACAGAAAATAAGAGGAAATATCTACTGGAGTTCACTAAGGATATTCCTTCGTGTGATAGGGATTAATTTTAATTACATGGAGAAGGAAAATGCATGCTACATATTTT